AAAAGGAAAACTACAGGCCAATCTCCCTAATGAACACTGATGCAAAATCCTCAATAAAATTTTAGCTATCAGAATCCAACAATGTATCCATAAGATAATTCACCAGGACCAAGTAGGATTCATTCCAGGGACACAAGGATGGTTCAACATCCGAAAATCAATCAACGTTATCCAACACATCAACAAAAAGAAATATAAAAACCATATGATAATATCAATAGATGCTGAGAAAGTTTTCGACAAAGTGCAGCACGCATTCATGATGAAAGCCCTTGAAATTCTTGGAATACAAGGACCATACCTCAACATCATAAAGGCCATCTATGACAAGCCAACAGCCAGTATCATTGTCAATGGTGAAAAGCTGAAAGCAATTCCATTAAGATCTGGAACAAGACAAGGATGTCCACTGTCACCACTGCTCTTCAATATAATACTGGAAGTCCTAGCCAGAGCAATAAGACAAGAGAAAGACATCCAAGGATTCCAAATAGGAAAAGAAGAAGTCAAACTATCACTATTTGTAGATGATATGATAATATACATAGAGAACCCAAAAACTCCACAGAAAAAACTAATTCACTCATCAATCAGTTCAGTAAAGGCAGGATACAAAATCAACACGCAAAAGTCAGTAGCTTCCTATACACAAACAATAAATCTGAAGAAGAAGAAATCAAAAAAAAAATCCCTTTTTTTATTGAAACAAAAAAATCAAATATTTGGGAATAAATCTAACAAAAGAGGTAAAGGACCTATACAAAGAAAACTATAAAACACTGTTAAAAGAAATAGAAGAAGACACCAAGAAATGGAAAGACATCCCCTGCTCATGGATTGGAAGAATAAACATTATTAAAATGGCCATCCTACCAAAAGCAATCTACAGATTCAATGCTATTCCAATCAAAATTCAATGTCATTCTTCAAAAGAAATAGAACATTATTGATGAAATTCATATGGAATCACAAAAAAACCCGAATAGCTAAAGCTCTCCTGAAAAATAAAGAAGGGAATGGAGGCATCACACTCCCAGACTTCAAACTATACTACAAAGCCATAATCATCAAAACTGCATGGTATTGGAACAAGAACAGACACATAGACCAATGGAATCGATAGAAAATCCAAGAAATAACCCACAGTTTATGGTCAACTAATCTTTGACACAAGGAGCAAAGATATGCATTGGAGCAAAGAAAGTTTGTTCAATAAATGGTGCTGGGAAAACTGGGTCGCTACATGCAAAAGAATGAAGCTTGACCATACCTCACACCCTACACAAAAATCAACTCAAAATGGATTAAGAACTAGACATAAGACCTGAACCATAAAATACATAGAAGGAAATATAGGCGAAACACTACGTGATTTGCACATCAAAGACATCTTTACAGACACATCACCCAAAGCAGTGATAGTGAAGGCAAAGATAAATAGCTGGGACTACATCAAATTAAAGAGCTTCTGCACAGCAAAAGAGGACAATAACAAAAACAAAGAGAAAACCCCACCAACTGGGAGAACATTTTGCACCCAACACTAATGATAAAGGACTGATCACAAAAATCTGCAAAGAGCTGATGAGACTCAACAACAACAAAGAAAATAATCCAGTCAAAAAAATGGGCAGAAGAGCTAAAAAAGAAACTTCTCTGAAGAGGAAATGCAAATGGCCAACAGGCATATGAAAAAATGTTCAACATCACTTGTAATCAGGGAAATGCAAATCAAAACTACCATGAGATACCATCTCACACCAGTGAGAATGGCACATATTAAAAAAAACTAGCAACAACAAATGTTGGCGAGGGTGTGGAGAAAAAAGAACTCTTCTGCACTGTTGGAGGGAGTGCAAACTGGTCCAACCACTATGGAGAGCTGTGTGGAGATTTCTGGACCTACTAAACATAGAGCTTCCACAGGATCCAGCAATTCCACTCCTAGGTATTTACCCAAAGGACACAGAAACATCCATTCCAAAGAAAACCTGCACCCCTATGTTTATAGCAGCACTATTTACAATAGCTAAGCTTTGGAAATAGCCCAAATGCTCAAAAATAGATGACTCGATCAAGAAGATGTGGTACATATATACCATGGAATATTACTCAGCATTCAAAAAAAGATAACACATGCAATTTGCAGCAACATGGATGCGCTGGTAGGGATCATGCTCAGCGAAATAAGCCAGAAAGAAAAAGAAAAATACCGGATGGTCTCACTCATAGCAGGAATCTAGAAAACTTAAATAAGGGACCAGGAAAATGAATAACTAAGAAAGTGAAAATCAAAATCAACAAAAAAGTATAAACCAGAGACACTTTTTGGGGGGTGAGGGTCGGGAGGGGAGGGATTGGTGTCAGAATGGGGGGTTTGCAATTGTATGGGGAATATAAAAATAAAATTAAGTCATATATAAAAAAAGAGCAAAAAATAAAGAAAGCTTGAATTTCTGAGCTCATTAACTTTTTTTTATTTTAGTTGTATCTCTTTATCTTTTTTCAGTTCTCTTACAGCAGTTTGACTTATTTTCCTGAGTTTTATCCTAGCTCTTAGAATTTCCTTAATAATACTTTTTCTAAGCTCTATCTGATAGAGAGATATACTCTTTCATGTCTTTGTGGTTGGATTTTGGGGAGTTGTGCTCTCTTGTGATACCATATTCCCTTGAGATCTTGATTTTCCATGTGTTACGCTTTTTTTTCTAGTTTATAATTCCCTATTTTTGATTAATATCTGTAGCAATAACTTAGAGAGTTAGATTATTTTTCCTGCAGGTGGTGCTAGAGTTGTGTTAAATGTTCATTATTTATAAATTGGTGTATCCACTAAAAATACTTACATCTTGAAGCTTTCACACATTAGTTAGCGCTTGTTACCTTATCGTGGCTTATAAGAAACCTAATTATCGCAACGAAAGATATAGACAGTGGTTTAAGGGTGGGTTTTTCCCCCCAAACACCCAGGATGTTCTCTAATTTTGTTTACATTTAGAGGATGAGAAAGGATTCAGTATGTGAAGTATTCAGATGAGAAGTATTCAGTATGTTATTTTCATGCAGGGGCAAATTAAATCATTGTAGGAAAATCCTGATTCTATCATTCCCCTTTTTTCTTCCTCCTTTTTCATTCTGAATGTTGCCTACTTTCTCCTCTACTTCAGTTTCCTCTGACGCAAGGCATCACAGTTTCTATACTTCTTGATTCCGAGATATTAACAAGGGGTGGTCATTTAGAATTGCTAGTGTTGCTGAAATTCTAACTTCATTTTAAAGCCCACTAGCGATTCTAGACAGTGTATGAATATGTATTATCTCTGAGAAAACTATCAGATTATAAGTGAAGTAGTAATCTAGAGTAACAAACATACTTTCACAGGAATGTTCTAACTATTTTCTCTGGTAGAACAAAGCAGTGATTGTTGGTATAATACTGTACCTGAACCTAAAATCTTAATGTCCTTCAGACCCATGTCAACACTTAGAATCGAGCATAATTATGTCAGGAATTTGAGAGAATATCCAGTAGCATCATTATGGAGTAATTTTGGTTATTAAAGATTTTAGTCTTTGTTTTATTTCAATAAGAGCTTTTGTAGATAGGTTTTTATTTCATTAAAGTAAAGACTAGCAAAAATAAAACCAAGAATCTCTCTCACCCTAGAACCAGAGTGAATGCTATATATGTGATGGAGTGTACTTTGGGACTTATACAAAGAATCAGTTAACACAAAGAGTTTTACAAGGATTGGGAAACCCAATATGCAGTGCAGAGAGTTTCTTGCCCAAAATCTCTTTCCTAAGAAAGTTATTCAGAAGTCCAGTATCTAAGGCATTTATCTGATCCTAGTTAAGAGACCTCTGGGTTCTCTAAAACAGTGATTTCACAAGATTGTGGAAGGAAGAACAATAGCTCACCCATTTATCAGTGGGAATGTTATATTTACTGTACCTACTGCAAAAGTCTTGATGTGAATCACTGTGTATCAGGATCTGCTTTTATTTTTGGCCCTGAATGCTAAGACTAGTACAAGGCCTTCCACTACTTCTAGAGTAGCTGTGTGTGTGTGTGTGTGTGTGTGTGTGTGTGTGTGTGTGTGTGTGTGTGTGAGAGAGAGAGAGAGAGAGAGAGACAGAGACAGAGACAGAGACAGACTGAGATATGGGAGATAAGTTTGATAAGACTGGTAACAATGGATATTTAATTATTATAAAATTAGCAGTCCTCCATTGGCTTTCTTTGAGCTCTATCAAAGTTTTCTTTTTTTTCTTCTTTTTTTAAATATTTATGTATGCATATAAGAACTGGGGTATAAACCGGGGGTGCGGGGGGGTGGCGTTAGAGGATTCACCAGAGACAGAGTGGGGAGCAGAACAGGCAGATCTACTGAAGTACACTGCTGAAGGGAGCAGCGGGCGAGGCAGGAGAGGTCTGCTGCGCCGTGTAGGTTAGCTCCTTGGCCAGGGTTTGAACTTGTGCTGCTTTGGCTGCTGCTAGCTTTGTAGTGCTGAGACAACCCCTTGTACCACCAGGGAGGCCCTCTATCCAAGTTTTCTATTCAGCCATTTTTGTTAAACCAGGAATAAGATTTGTTCATGATACCTAAGGGGGTATATAACATGTGCTCTAAGGGGGACAAAGATTTTCTACCCATAAAATTCTATTCATATGTCAGTTGTTTAAGCATATAATTTTGGGGATGCATTTTCACACCTGCATATGTGTACATACTCTACTCACTTGCCACAAAACCTGCAGTGGCTGATGTCCTCCAAAGTTTTTTTTTCAACTCCTATACAAAGAAAAGTAACCTTTGGCATCTTCTATTTCAGCCTACTACTTCCCCTAATCTGCAAATCTCAGTTACGTATACTTTTAACACTGAGGCAGTGATACTGAGAATGGAATGAGTTAATGAGTCAAAAGGTAGTTTATTGATGATCACTGACTTGATTTTTTTACCCTTTTCTTTACACTTTTTTTTTTATTGTTATAGAAGAAGCTACTATGGAGGAAATTGGGCCAGTTTTAGCTTTTCGGGACTGCTTTCCTGGCTAAAGGAATACCAGGTAAAGTTATTAATATCTGAGTTTTTAATTTTCTAGGTTCCATTTTGTATCACATAATAACTCTGCTTGGAAGAAAACTGTAATAAGAAGCTTCATCTGTAATATAGGATTGATGCCTCACTTTTATTTACTTAATCAACAAAAATTATGCAGTCACCGTTTCAGTGAATTTGTCCCCAATGTTTTTAAAGTACATATAATGCTTTTTTAGTATAAATGGATATGTTGTCTAAAGAGTGAATCACATATACTTGATACCATTTTCTAGTTATTCTCTACATACAAATAATAATGCATAATTTTTCCCCTAAAATTGTCTTTCAGAAAAAATAGTTTGGTTCTTAGAAAGTTTCACCTAATGCTAGTTGTTCTTTCAGTTAATATGTTTTGAAATAAACAACTATTTGGGGAAGATACATTAATTGGAAATAACTTATGTCATTGGTGGTTTTTCATGTTTGTAGTTTTGGCTTTCATATTTTTATAGACAGAATCAGTAAATAGAAAAAAAGTAATTAAGTTATTGGATAGCATTGTAAAGATGCTCTTTAGTTTGTGGTAATCATGTCCATACAGATGTATGTCTGAAATCTAGGCACTGTTATAAATCAATTATTACTTAAAAAAAGCTTTTTGATTATCACTTATAGTATTGAAATATGGAGTTTACTAATTTTTATGAGATGGGTTAAAACACTGTTATAATTTTATGTAGTGCTACATATTCCTTGAAATGGCATTCCTACTGAGAGCATCACACCTGGAATCAGAAATTACTGTATTTCTTCTCTCTTTTTTTTAATATTTTATTAGAAGAACTGAGGTACAGGTCAGAGGCACAGGAGGGTGAGAGAATTCACCAGAGACAGAGTGGAGAGCAGAACAGCAGACAGACCAAAGTCACTGCTGAGGGGAGCAGCCGGCGAGGCAGAAGAGGTCTGCCACGCCATGTGGGTTTTTCTCTGGCTGGCTGGGAATTGAATCCGCTCTGCAGAGGCTGCGGACAGCTTCACAGCACAATGCTCAACCCGCTGCGCCACCAGGGTGGCTCAGAAATTACTGTATTTCAAAAGAGTTTGTACAGGTTGAAAAAGAGGCTGATAATACTCTTAGAAAATTGTTTTTCCATAGCTAAGAATAATATGGTTAAGACTCATTAAGCACTTACCTAATGTGCCATGCCCCTAAGTCATGACAGATTTTGGTAATGAAGATACAGTGAAGATTCAGTTTAAATAATATTGTTGCATGAAATGAGAGTTTGGAGAAAAAAACCTATTTGTAAAGTAGCCTTTGATATATTTCCTCAAACTATGTGTAAACCAAGAAATTAAATGTAAGTAGACATTTAATTATATATTTTATCTGTGTCTTAATTAATTCACATATTTATGTTGATCAGAAACTATGATTTGAATCTTGTCCCTGTGAAGTGTGAGGGTCCCCTTATAGTTAGACATATTTAGTACCTCAACAAGAAAATTCAGTCTAGATTCTCAGAACAACAAGAAAAATACCTCAGTTGTCTGAATTGAAAACTTTTGTTGTGTAAAGGGAGTTTTAAAAAACAATTTTTGGGGCCTCCCTGCTGGCGCAAGGGGTTAAGACGCAGTCTGTGAAGCTGTTGGCAGCCTCTACAGCATGAGTTCGATCCCCAGCCAGGGAGCAACCCACATCGGCGCAGCCGGCCTCTTCTGACTCTCCCGCTGCTCCCCTCAGCAGTGTACTTTGGTTGTTCTGCCTGTTCTGTTCCCTGCTCTGTCTCTGGTGAATCCTCTCACCACTCCCACACCTCTGGCCTGTACCTCAGTTCTAGTATGCATAAATAAAATAAATCTTTAAAAAAAAAGCAATTTTTGGTACTGGTTTATTAGATTTATTAAAAACATTTTTGTAGACATTTATTTTAATGTTTCTTTTAGTCTAGTATCTTGACTCTGTTACTGTTTCCTTTTCGCCTATACTATCCATCCTTGGCCACTGTTTTGTTTTGTTTTGGTTTGTTTTTGTTTATTTTTTTTTTTGAGGTTGGTATCTCCATGTGAACACATTCAAAGTTCCTTTACTTCTCCTGTTCTTGTACTTATGTTGGGATGTTTAATACTTTTCTAACACTACAGTTGATAATAAGACCTTTTTGCCACTGTGTTTTTTCAGCTTAAATTACTGAATTCAGGACAACATACCTTTTAAAAATAATTACTGTCTTATTTTATTATTTTTCCCTCTTTTTTACATACATGTATATCTTTTATTGACGAAGCATTGGTTTACAACATTGTATATGATTTAGAGATATAGGATCTCCCCCTTCAGGTGTTGTTACCTCACCACACCCACCGCCAAGACACCCATAATCTACCGTAGTCCATTGGGCCCCTTCCCTACTTTGATCTCTTCTCTCCCACTGCCCCTCTCCCTCTGGTAGCCTCACTGTTCTAGTCATATTTCTAGGGTTTGTTTTTGATTTAACTGTATCTGGCCCTTTCTTTTGTTTCTCTATATTTAAATTCTCTGTATTGTAAGTTGCCACATATAAGTGACAACATCCAGTATTTGTCTTTCTCCTCTGACTTATTTCACCTAGAATAAGGCCCTCAAGCTCCATCCATGTGGTTGCAGATGCAAGGGTTTATTAGTTTTCATAGCTGAGCAGTATGAAATCTGTAAGTTTAGAAACTTTCTGAGATAATTTATTTAAAGGATATTGTAATTGTAGTTTATTAATATTTCTTTGAGTATATAGAATACATTTTTGAAATATTTTCTCTGAGAAAGAGATGTGTATCAAGTAGATTAAAACTATAGACAACATTAAAACTTGACCTCGACATTTGAAAATGTATGTCTTGGTATCTTCAAAAGTCCCCTGTATTCAGATACTACTGTGTCATAGAAATTTCTCCATAAAATTAAGGAATTACTGAAAATTGTAAAGCACTACTTTGGACCATTTATGAGAGTTTATGTACCTTATTATATATTCTTACTGTATTTCTGAGTTTAGATATTAAAGTATTGATTATTATAATGTCCTTAGTTATATTCAAATGACTACCATTCAAAAATATTTTTACATGTATTCAAATTTTGACATGACTGATGCCCAACCTTAAAGACCTGAAAGTAAATAGAATGAAGTAATTTTATAGCCTGCTGTTTTGGCAAGAAAATGTAAATACCTATTATTAACAACTTATATATACAACAGTTATGCTTGATTCTAAGCAGATGGTTAGGTTTTCTCAATTTAATTAAAACTTCTCATCTATGTTTTGTTTAGGAAAACAGTGACATCATGAATGAAAGCCTGGCATGGCAAGAGCAAATCCTTGAAAATGAAGAAGCCATTGCTCTTAGCAGAAAGGATAGAACCATTCAACATGTGGAAGTGTTTTGTTATGTCAGGTATGAAAAATAATTATTTAGGATAAACTAAGTTAATGACTTCATATCCATACTTCTTCAGAAAAAGCCAACAGTAAGAATTTATATTCACTAGTTGCTACAAGTCTAATTGATATTCTGGTTTGCCTTCTTTAAAATAAAACTTTCATTTTTCTCTGCTTAGATGAAAATAAAAATAGCAGCAACATGGTATATTAATGCTTTACAATTTTCCAAGCTCTTTTAGATAATTACCTCATTTGATCCTTAGAATAATTCTGCACTAGGATAAAGCTGATAGCATTAGTTGTATTTTTTTTTACAGAATTCCCAGTGGAGCTCAAAGAAATTAATTTGCTGAAGATCCCATGGCTTGATAAATGTCAAGACCTTACTTAAGCTGTATAGTGGTACAGCTCAAGGTTAAAACCCAAATGTTTTTATATTCGAGTCCAGTGTTCTTCCAACTATACCATTCTTATTAGATAATGCTCCCTGTAACAAATTGGAAAATTCTAATTTTGAATTTAAAAAATCAAACTTTATCTTTTGGTCTATGGTCAGGCGTGTTATCCATTGCACAAACAGCACAAGGTGCTCTGGTGATAGACTACAGGTTCTTTGGTAGTGAGAGAACTATGGTGACTACATCTGAGGAAAGAAATCATATACTGGCAAAAATTAAATGGATGTATGAAAAAGGAACTTCATTAAAAAATAAAACAAATGTTTAAATCTAATCTGTGATAAGTAAAATTAAAACAAATACTAGAAAGAGCTTTCTTGGATTTTTAGATCTCCAATCTAGGCTCCCACAGAAGTATTTCCATTTTAAGTTCAAAATTACAAAACAGAACACAAGTTTTTTTTTTTTTTTTTTTTTAAGTTTTACACTAGAAAAATGAATATTGAGAGAAGACCTGAGAAATAAGAACCAGGTATTTATATTAATATCTCAGTCCCATATTTTCACTGTACATGAAAAACTGCTTCAGAAGTAAGCTGCCTTGGGTTTTTAAAGCACACAAAAGCTCTACCTCAAAGAAGAAAAATCAAATCCAGTGGTCATCACATTTGGGTATATATTTTTTGTAAATTAGAAGAGAGCAGTGGGAGCTAAGAATTTCTCAGTGTCTCCTGAGAAAATTCATTGTTTGAAACAACTGGAGTAGTTTATTTTTTCAGGTTACATGGTTGATAGGCTAAAAACTAACAATCACTTACTTTAGTGCCATCATTCAATTAGTTATAGATTCTCGAGGTTTAGCATATCAGATTGTCAGGCTTTTTAATAGTAATCCGACCTTAAAACCCACAGCACTAGAGATTCTTTTGACTATACTCTGCCATCTTACATACCCTTGTGGCAAGTATGGCTAATGATGTGACCAGAACTCATGAAAAGTGGTTTATTTCCTTAATCTGCGTTCGTCTTGCAGTTAACTAGCATTTTTTTCCTTTGTTAAATTTCTGTGATTTTCTGCAAAAAATAGCTTTTGAAATGTTAAGACAAAAATTGTAATTTATATAATGCTAAATGTCTTCCTGGTATAACCGACATTGTTATAAGTCAGTGTAGACAGATTTATAACAGAATGTGATCTCAACTGAAAAATCATATACTAAATGAAACCAGGAATAAATATTTAGTAACTCCATTGTGTCCATAAATACTACTTTATGATAATATAGTGACAGTCACACTGTGGCCCTTTGAGAAGTACTTTTTGATATTTCAAGACCTCTTATGTCTCTGTTCTTCATAAAAATTGAGGTTTTTGATTTCCAGTAATTGACACATTATGATGCAGAGGAAACATCTCATTTTCAATTTCTCATCTCTTTTCATTTTTGTAACTTCTCAAAGTGAGAAAGTAAATATTGGTGATTGAAAATTTGTTTTAAAACAAGAATTGTGTCTTAGCTATATGGTCCTCCCATTTGACCTGCTAGGATTGTGGAATAATAGGTGAACTGAGATAATATTCTATATGTCTTATTTACTTGGAAAAATCAGCTAGTTATTTAAAGTCATAATAAGCAAGAAGACACCTCAGAACATCCAGTGGAGTAATGTATGGAAAATCCACTTGTCTGTAACTTCTATATACATGGGTAAAAAGGAATAATAAAACCTCACTTAGCTCCAGCCAGACTGTGTCATCCTTCATATTTTGCATTGTGGCCAGAAACTTGGAATTATGTGAAAGTGATAAGGCCAACATAGCTATAATCACAAAGATTTACTTTATGCGAAAGAGTATCACCCAGGACCTACTGACTTAAATCAAAGGCCTGCTTAGTACATATTTCTGATAATATTGTGGTTTTCCTACCTACCATAGTAGTTTAAAACAGTAAATAGGAAATGGGTATCTGTTAGAGGCAAATATACTGAGAACTATCATAGTAAGACCAGGGTTGTAGTTCTGTCTTTATTGTTCAACTTCTGCGTGATACTGAGCAAGAGTTATCTCTTCTCTTGGTCCCTGTTTTACATTGCTGTTATTTTACATTCTAGTTGATAGACTAACGAAAGAGAAGTAGATGGCATCAGCAAGCTGGCAGCAAGCTTTGGGCCATTTAGTGTAGGGTTAAATGACTTGTACAAGAGGATCCCTGAAGTATATCACTGTTAAAACACAGTGTAACAGTTGATGATCATAATTATATCCTGAAAGGTAAATTATGTTTCTATTATCTACTTGAAAAGGTAAGTGGGATTGAAATACAGTTTAGAGAAAAGAGTATTAAAAATGATTAGAATAAAAAATATATCATTTTAAGAGATTAGCTTTGATTATCTAGAAAATTTTCTCATTTTCTTCCTGTGTAAGTAAGTAAGGATATCACTATGTAGTAGATCCTTGATATCCTTTTGGGATATATCCTAAAATCTTTGTAAATATCCTTTTGTACATAATAAAAAGTACGATACGGGTTTCTGGCTTTTTCTTATTGCTTTTTTGGTATAAGTGTTACTGATGTTAATGTTACATTTTGTGGATGGAGGGTGTGTGTGTGTCTGTGTGTGTGCATTTACTTCTCTATAGCTTTACCTATTTGGGTGTATGTATCTATCATCATAGTCAATTTAGCGAACAAACAGTTCCATCACCAAATGGATCCCCATTGTTACTTTTAACACATGTTATCTTCTTCCTACCTTCCTTTTCATCCCTAATTCCTGGAACCCCCTAATCTATTTTCTAGTTCTGTAATTTTGTCATTATAAAATATTGTATGAGTGGAACTATATACCATGTAACCTTTTGTCATTGGCCCATCTCATTGTGCATATTTACCTAGAGATTCATTCAGATTGTTGCAGGTATTAATATTTTTTTTTCCACTAGCCACTTTCAGTATTCTTTATCTTGAGCTTTTTTTTTTTAATAGTGGCATGTTTTATTTATTTGTTTGTTTGTTTATACATGCACTGGGTACAGTCAGAAGCACGGGAGGGTGAGAGAATTCACCAGAGCCAGAGTGGGGAGCAGAGCAGGCAGAAGGACCGAAGTACACTGCTGAGGGGAGCAGTGGGTGGCAGGAGAGGTCTGCGCGCCATGTGGGACCCTTTTCTGGTGGACGGGGAGCAGACAGGGATCGAACCGGCACCGCAGAGGCCCCGGGAAGCTTCGCAACCCAGCGCTTAACCGCTGCACCACTAGGGAGGCCCTATCCTGAGCTCTTGATGTAGATCTTAATACATTTCAATAAACAGGTATTCCTGTAGCTTCATGGACTTGTATATTTAGTTCCTTCCCTTCCCCAAATTGCCAGAGCAGTCCTGACAAAATGAGGCCCAACAATGATATCACACTCTCATGCTATGAACAATACTACAAAGCTGTGGAATCAAAACAGTATGGTGCTACTGGAATAAAAATAGACACACAGAAGAATGAAATAGATTTGAGTCCAAAAATAAACCCATACTTATATAGAAAGTTAATCTATGACAGCAGAGCCAAGAGTATACATGGAGAAAGGAAAGTCTTCAACAAATGGTATTGGGAAAACTGAACAGTCACATGCAAAAGAATGACACTAGACCACTGTCTCACACCATACTCAAAAATTATGTCCCAAATGGATTAAGCACTTTGGTGTAAGAACTAAACATAAAATACATGGAAGAAAACAGACAATATACTACATCACATTGACTTCATGGATGTCTTTGGGGACTCCAACAGCAAGAGAAAAAAACCAAGAGTAAACAAATGGACTACATCAAACTAAGAAACTTCTGCAGAATGAAAGAATATATAATTAAAATGAATAGGAAAAAATGTTCGCATCTCATACATCTGAAAAGGGGCTATCCAAGGTCTGCCAAGAACTCATACAGCTCAATAACAAAAAAAAAAATGGTCAGAAGAGCTAAATAAATAGACACTTTTCCAAAGAAGACATACAAATGGCCAACATGTGCACGAATAAATGCTCACAATCACTTAATCTTCAGGGAGGTGCAAATGAAAACCAAACCCCAGTGAGTTACCATCTCACTTGTGATAATGGCCCATATCAAACAAACCTGAAACAAGAAATGCTGGTGAGCATGTGGAGAAAATGGAACCTTTGTACACCGTTGGTGGGCATGTAGACTGATCAGCCCCTGTGGAAAATTGGTATGGGGATTTCTCAAAAAAAAAAATAGATCTATTATACAATCTAGCAATTTCTTTCTTTAGTATCTACCCAAAGAATGCAAAAACACTAATTTGAAGAGACCTGTGCCCTCCTAGGTTCATTGCAACACAATTTGTCATAGCCACCCACGTTATGGGAATGACATCAGTGCCCAAATAGATTAAGTTGTGGTACACACACACACACACACACACACACACACACACACACACACAACATAATGAAATATTATTCAACTACAAAAAAAGGTGAACCCTTGCTATTTGCAGCAACATGAATAGAACTGGAGGCGTTTATGCCAAGCAGAGTAAGTCAGAAGAAGACAAATACCATATGGTTTCACTCATAGGTGTAATAAGAGA